CAAGACGTTCCGGCGACGTCTCAGCATCACGCAAGAGGTTGGCCGTGGCCTGCAGCTGTGCGAGGCCCGACTGCTGCTCCTGGACCCACAGGCTGCGGGAGAGACCGGCTGCCGCCGCGTTGAGGGCAAACCGATGCCCGGTACCCGCGATGGCGTCCAGAGCGCCGTTGGTGGTCAGCCGTAGGAGCTCCTGGATCATGCCCGGGGCGGAAGGGCTGGTGAAATCGGTTTCGGTGACGAGAGTCGTGAGAATCTGGAGCATTTCAGGGATGTTCTGGTCCAGGGAGAAACCGGAAAATTGCAGGCCTTCGCTAAAGCGTCCAATCTCCAGCGGAGACGAGGTATGGAAGGACGACGTGGAGATACCGCCCGTCTTCAACTTGATGAGGTCTTCCCACTGCTCCATGGTTCGGTTTGCAGTACCCAGTCGCATAATGCAGTCGTTGAACAGAGGCATCAGCAAGCGGAGGTCGTCGGGAAGGTCGTCAAAAGCGTTCAAGGCTTGGAAGTAGGTGAGCCCATTGGTAGGGGCTTCGCGCCAAACGACGTCAACATCGTCGACCTTCGACTCCCTCAACGGTTTGCGCTCTTTCTCCCGCGAAATGTCCTCGACGCGAAGAGAGGGCAGACAACTCAAGTCGGCATGTTGAGCGTCTTCCTGGATCTTGAGCAGCTGCAGTTCTTCTGCACCGAGCGTGGCAGCGGCCTTCTCCACGGATCCGTGCTGCTCGATCAGCTGGGCGAGCTTCTGTTCCCGTCGGACCATCTCCTGGGCGTCAAGGTCCTTGCCGAAGGTTGGCGAGCCAACCATGGTGAACGTCAAGCAGTTGTCGTTGATGAGATACTTCTGCACCAAGGACTCAAGATAGCCACCTTGGCTATATTTGCTCTTGAACTCCTCAATCACCTCGTTCCAGGCAAGCTCTTTCATGGGGTTCGACCCATTGAACCAGGCACTCAGAGTTTTGTCCATGACACCGAGACCGAAATTCGCTGTCTTGTGCCTCAGTGCCAGCTCCAGCTGGTGCAAAAGCCCCTGCACCTTCTCATCGCTGAAACCGTTCGCCACAGCGTCCTGGTAGACCGTCTGGACCGCCTCCTTCACTTTGGGGGCCTCCGCTTCACTGACTCCGGTGACACCGACGGAGAAGACCGGAGTCTTGCCGGACGAATCCAGTCCCGTGTTGGGGCTGAATGACGACCCCAGGCCACTTTCAATCAACGCCCGATACATGGGAGAGCCATAACCATCCAGCAGCAGGGACGAGATGATTCCGGCGGAGAAAGTTTCGACGACGTTGGTGACATCGCCCATGTACCACGACGTGGAGGTCTTGTGCTGCTTGTCCTCGCCGGTGAAGGGGTCGACCGGACCCGGGACGGTGATGTTCTTTGGCCCGTTGCTCAGATCAATGGGTGCCTTGACGGAAGTTTCGGTCTGCCCCTTGCTGAATCCATCCAGAACACTGCCGATTTGCTTGAGGTGGCTACTCAAGGGCATGTCACCGTAAGTCAGGATCTTTGCGTTGCTCGGATGATAGTTGCGCTTGGAGAAGTCCACCAGCTGCTGATGCGTCAAATCGGTGATGTACTGTGGGTCACCCCCCGAGTTGTTCAGCGCGGGAATGATGTTCTCTTTGTACTTGATGTAGTACAGGTAGTTGGCATCCGAAATCTGTCCCTTCATCTCGTTGTACACGACTCCCTTGAACACAATATCGTCGATTTTCTGTCCGTCGCCCTGGAAGGCCTTGGGATCCTCCGGGCCCAACCGCCATCCCTCCTGTCTAAAGTCCTCTTCTTTCAACAGCGGGTGGAGGGTGGCGTCGAGGTACACGGACAGGAGATTCTGGAAATCCTGCTGATTCGTCGTCGCGAAGGGGTAGGTCGTGTGATCGGAGGCGGTAAAGGCATTCATAAAGTTGGACAGAGATCGCGGCAGCATCTTGAAGAACGGGTCTCGGATCGGGTACTTCTCGCTCCCGCATAACGTGGTGTGTTCCAAGATATGAGGCACCCCCGTCGCATCGGGCGGGTTGGTCTTGAACCCGATTCCGAACACATTGTTCTTGTCTTCTCGTGCCACATGGAGGTAGTCCGCGTCCGTCTTGTCATGCGTCAGCCGTACCGCCGTCAAGTGCAACTCGGGCACATGCTTCTTCTCTTGCACGGTGAACCCATGGAGGGATTGTCCTGCTTCCGGGAAGTTCTCCAACGAGGTCACTGTCGACGCTTCTCGCTGAAACTGCGTATACCGAGAAAGGGCTCTGCCCACTTTCAAACTGTGGCTCGGGGAGGCATGGCGCAAAGACACCACTCGGCCTTTGCCTACAGCCGATGACAAACGCAGCATCACGCTGCACCGGGGGGATGGATGGCGCATAGAAGGGGAGTCGTCGACACGGATGCGGTTCAACCGTCGCTATCGGAGGTAGAATCGACACAAATATCTAGAAATAACCTCGCTATGAATGGAGAACGCGAACGATGTCCAGTCGAGGGAGCCACGGTGAGCGACGGAGACGTCGAGATTGCATCGCGCCGTGCATAATTACTCATCCCATGCATCCCGGGTTATGCCTGTTGAGGTTGGACTATCACGTGCCCCGAAGTCGGCGCGGGTAGCTGCTGAGTCAGCCACGCCCCAACATTTTTCGAGTTAGTCTGAAGAGCCGATTTATTGTTATAACACTTGCGCCCCCACTATCGATCAGCAAGAGTCATCGTCTCTTCAATCCTTTCTGTTCGCTTCATTCCTTTTGAGTTTTTTTCCTCCTGCACCTGAACAGGACGTGCAATGTCCACCGACAACCCCAACGTCAATGGGTATTCAACCCCGCCGCAGGGGGGGTTGAGCAACCTCGCCCTCACCGAGTATACCGCCGCTCCGACGCCTCAGTCCGAGACCGAGAATCGGATCCTCGGGCTCCCCAACAACTGGGGGATTCCGGACAGTTTGATTTTGCCCAACGGGTATCCGGATGTAAGTGGGGTGCACGCGAACAGCTGTGGCGGGGAGAAGGTCGCTGATTGCGCATCCGGCGCCTCATTATAGTACCTCCGTCTGATCTTGACGTCCCGTGTCTACGAAGTGATCAACGAGTCCCCTCTGACCCACGCCGTCAATCTCAGCAATCGCCTAGAATGCCGGGTGCTTCTGAAGCGGGAGGATCTGCTCCCCGTGTTCAGTTTCAAGCTGCGCGGGGCCTACAACAAGATGGCGCACCTGACCAATGAACAGCGCTGGAAGGGCGTCATCGCCTGTTCTGCAGGTAAGGATGCTGGGGATGGGAGAATGGTTGGGGACAACAGATGCTGATAGTTGGGCGCTAGGAAACCATGCGCAGGGGGTGGCATACTCGGCGCGCAAGTTGAAGATCCCCGCCACCATCGTCATGCCGTCGGGCACCCCGGCCATCAAGCACCTGAACGTCGCTCGTCTCGGAGGGAGCGTCGTGCTCCATGGCGATGACTTTGACGCCGCGAAAGAGGAAGCACACCGTCGGGAGAAACAGCACGATTTAACCAGCATCCCCCCCTTCGATGACCCCTACGTGATCGCGGGACAGGGCACGATCGGGATGGAGGTGCTGCGACAGGCAAACCTCCAGAAGCTAGAGGCGATCTTCTGCGCCGTGGGCGGTGGCGGCCTGATTGCCGGCTTGGGTGTCTACGTGAAGCGGATCGCGCCTCATGTGAAGGTCATCGGGGTGGAAGCCCACGATGCCAACGCCATGGCGCAGTCGCTGACCGCTGGGGAGCGCGTGTTCTTAAAGGATGTGGGACTCTTCGCCGACGGGGCCGCGGTCAAGTCGGTTGGAGAGGAGCCGTATCGGCTGTGCCGCGAGGTGATTGACGAGATCGTCCAGGTGTCGACCGATGAGACGTGCGCTGCGATCAAGGATGCGTTTGAGGACACGCGCTCGGTCATTGAGCCGGCCGGTGCTCTGGCCCTGGCGGGTCTGAAGAAATATGTGTCCTTGAACCCCAGCCCGGACACCAATCGGGAGCTGGTCGCCATCGCGTCCGGGGCCAACATCGATTTTGACCGGCTGCGGTTCGTGGCTGAGCGGGCGGCGTTGGGCGAGCGCAAGGAGGCCCTGTTGAGTGTCAGCATCCCGGAGAAGCCGGGGGCGTTCGCCAAACTGGTCGAGGTGGTCCTCCCGCACGCGGTCACGGCCTTCAGCTACCGTTATGCCGGTGCGGAATCGGCCGACGTCCTGATGGGTATCTCGCTGTCGGCCTTGACCGGTCGAGATGACCTAGCCAAGATCATCAAGGAGCTGACCCGCTGCGGAATGGAAGCGCGGGACTTGAGCGATGACGAGCTGGCCAAGAGGCACTTGCGCTTCCTGGTCGGCGGCCGCGCCGACGTGCCGGACGAACGTCTGTTCATGTTCGAGTTCCCCGAGCGGCCCGGTGCGCTGGCCAAGTTCCTGACCACGCTCCGACCCCACCAGAACATCTCGCTGTTCCACTACCGCAACTACGGTGGCGATGTCGGCAAGGTGCTGGCGGGCATCCAGTGCCCGAGCGTCGAGAAGGACGACCTCGAGTCGTTCCTCAACGACCTCGGCTATCCGTTTAGCGAACACACGGACTCGCCCACGTACCGCACGTTCCTCCGTTCTTAATGACACTGCGGGGCATGTGTTTCCTCTAGGGCAAGAGTTGGGCGGTTCATGCTTCGGCGGTTTCGAAATTTTCGGCGTTTGGGTTATAGCGTCCTACACGGGGTGATAGATAGACTTTTGGGCACGAAATTTCCGTATACGTATTAGTTAATTTCTCTTATTCTGTTATCCTTCATGCTAGTATCCAGTTTACCAGGGCTGTCTGTCATAATCAACCTGGCTGGCACTTTTCTATATCACGTGGCGCATTTTATCTTTTCCACTACTCGATGTTGTGGACAGGCAAACTCTGCCACAACAACCATCACGACATTGCTCCCAAAACAATTCCAAAATAAATGTAAAGCCAAAAAAGACAAAAAACCATGGAGTCACGGGGAATCGAACCCCGGACCTCTCCCATGCTAAGGGAATATTATACCACTAAACCATGACCCCATTGGATGAAAGTCACGGGACCTGTTCTACTCATCTGCGCGGATCATCATTAGGGCCATCACTCTACTACCTGGATCTAGGTCAATCCACCACTTTATTTGATATACGGTATATTGGGCTCTATGACTATTCTTCCGGAATGGTTTATCTGACTGGAATTGACCAGAGTGTGTGGGTGCTATTATGTCGGGGGATATACCTGTTTGTGGGTGTCTAGATATATATTTCTTAACCCATACCTTGAGAACATACGAAAAGACGAATAATTTCATTCACAACAATCCCAAACGCATCTAAGCAAATAGATATCTAGCAAAATAAAACACATACTTTTGGTAAAACACAAGAGCCATGCCGGGGGAATCAAAATGCGGAACAAAAACGATGTATAAAAGGGTCTCTCCGGCCTCCATGCCCGCGCGGGCTCCAACATCTCTTGTTGTATAAGACTGGTATACTCGGTGATGATCCGATATGATGGTCTTGAACGGGGAAATAAATGAATAAAAGTGAAACGGAAAACAAAATGTAAAAGAAAAAATTTTTTTTTTCCCAAGAGAAAGGAGGATTGGAAAAACCAAAGCGTTCAATCCTCATCGGCGTCGTGGACGGCCCAGCGTCGGGTGTTCCGCGCCCGGGCTGTGCGCTTGGCAGACCCCCGATCGCTCGGGGTATCCTGGCGCACAATCACCGGCAAACTGTCCAGGACGGCCCGATTCCCTTCGTAGTAATGGACGGTAAAGCCGCCCTGCAGCACCCGGCGCAGGGAGTGCAGGCGGATCCACTTCCACCAGCGATCGATGTTCATCACGCCCTGGCGGCCGATCTTGACGGTCATTTTGCTGCCGTAGTGGCGGTTGGTGTCCTGGTTGATGGCGGTGTTGTAGGTCGGCCCGTGGCGCGGGTTCTCAATGGTGTTCAGGATGGAGGCGAAGTTGCTGTGCAGGCTCTTCTTGTCCTTCTTGCTGATGTGTTTGCTGTGGACGGTGGCCAGGGACTGCAGCTGGCTGGCGAGCTCGTGGGTGTTGTGGTAGGCGTTGTAGCGCTTGATGAGCTTGGGCCCCGCTCGTGCGCTGGGGGCCGCCATGAAGGACTCGTCTTCATCTTCCGGCTCGGATTCCTCGTCCTCGTCATCTTCCTCCTCCGGCGTGTAGCTCTTTTCGTACAGGAGCGCGATGTTTTCGCCCGCGGCAATCTGCACGCTCGACTCGCCGCTGTCTAGCTGGTCCATGAAGATCTGGACGGCGTCCTCGCTCTCGCCTTCGAGGTCGTCGATCTCGACCGCCAGCGAGCCCCACTCCTGCAGGGCGGCGGTGACCGCGCCCGCATCATCATCGGCACCGATGGACTGTCCGTCCGAGGCGACAATATCCAAGAGGAACGTCATCTGGTCGAGGAAACTGTCCTCGCCCGCTCCTCCAAAGATCGCACACGTGCCGAGACAGTGGATCGCGGCGGTCTTGGCGGCCACCGAGGTCGAGTCTCGGATCGTACGGGTCAGCAGCGGTTCGACATTTTCGTAGACCTTATCGTCTTGCGAGGTCACGGTGAGCAGCTCGAGCGCGCGGAGGGCTAATACTGTCTCCCGCACACTCGACTCAAACTTGATACTCTTGCAGAAGGCAGCGAGGAGATCGGTCACACGGTTTCGGAGATGGTCGTCGATGAAATGACATTTCGACAGACGGCAGAAGGCAGCGTATGACTCTTCGCGACTCAAGATACTACTCCGTTTACGCTCGAGAATATCTTGGATGACATCTGCCAACTCTTCGGCCCAGTTTGAATTATCATTTTCCGGAAGGTCAGCCAAGTCATCGAGAGAGCCAATACTAAATCGAGCAATATCATTAGTCAATTGTTTGTTCCCGGATAGATGGATCGTCGACAGTGACATCATCGATCACCGCCTAGAAAAAAAAAAAAAAAGTTCCATGATGAAGATGACATCATCCCGTCGAAGGATCCAGACCTTGCGTTCATGTCGCATTCCAGCCAAAGGAAAAAACAACCCGGTGACTTACCTCAAAGCTGTGTCGTCGCTGAGATAGCCACCATCTTCATCGTCTGATGGCTGTCTGCTCGTGTTCCGCGATGATTGTTGAGAGGCCTGAGCGGAGGGGTTGCGCGACGGCCGTCGCGATCCTTCGCGGGACGCCGCCTTGCGCGAGATGGTCTTGCCGCTCTCAAACACCTGACGACGAAGGTCTGGCATGATCGATCAGGTCGCCTGACAATATAGATGATATAAATCGATATTTGATGCAAGTTGACGATGAAGGTGATCGTAAGGATGGGGATGAAAAGTAGATGAAAGAAGGGAGAAGAGAAGAAAAGAGCCCGAGGGGGTTTGAGTTATAGAGCGGTTAATACCCGAGATAAGAGATAAGACACGGGCGATAAGATAACTCGTGCATTATGCAGGTCACAAGGATGGACATTATGCCAAGAATGAGTCATCTAGTGGCAACCATCGTATGAGTCACAATACGTCATAAAACACACAATACCCATACCAAGAAGCAGGCAAAACAAGGTCCGTACCGGCAGTCGGATGATTAATATTCCTGATTCAGAGTCCGGTTTGTCTGGTTTGTCTGGTTTGTTCTCGCCTGCTTTTCCATCATTTTCCATCTTCTCAACAGACAAGAAACAATGCCCACCAAATGGCATTGCGATCATCAGCTTTCCGAATAACCGTATCGCGCGGTGCATGGACACCGAGGCTCTCGTCCAGAGCCGGTGGCAGAACCGTGTGGGCGCGACTCTACAGCACTACGGCCCCGGGCCAGTCGAACCCGCCGCAAGAATCGGAGCGCGCGACGCCATCCCCGGTCAACGACCAGGTGCCCGATGGGACCCATCTCAACCCCTTACCGGACGATTACTCGCGCTTCATTTTCCAAGATAAATGCCGCTCGGTGCTGTATGCGGGGTCGGGGGGGAGTGGTTGTGTGTCGTTCCTACGCGAGAAGTACGTCGAAGAAGGGCCTCCCAATGGCGGCGACGGGGGCAGTGGCGGGTGTCTCTACGTCCAGGCGGTCGAGGGGATGACGAGTCTCCATAAGTTAGCTCGTCGGGGAGTGATCCGCGCCGGTCGCGGCAAAAATGGCCAGGGAAAGAGCAAGGGAGGTCGACGGGGCGAGGATGTTCTGATCCAGGTGCCCGTGGGGACGGTGATTCGCGAGGTCGACCGGTACGACCCCGTGACGGAGGAACTGGTTCGGTTAGAGGAACTCGAGGCCCAGCCGCCAGATGAGCTGGATGAGATGGGGTTAACGTCCATCCGCCACGATCGCTGGGTGCTATATCCCGGCGCCAAGCCCTCGGACTTCCTGACCACGGTCTTCCCCCGGAACACGCCTCGACGGCAGGACATTGCCTCGCTGGAGCCGCCGTCACCGATTCACCTTGATCTCTCGTATCATATGGAGAAGCCGATTTTACTCGCAGCCGGCGGGGCGGGCGGGATGGGGAACCCCCACTGGTCGTCGCGCGCCAACACCCGCCCCAATTTTGCCTCCCGGGGTGAAGGCGGCATGCGCCTGGAACTGGAGTTTGAATTGAAACTCCTGGCAGATGTCGGGCTGGTAGGGAAGCCCAACGTCGGGAAAAGTACCCTCCTCCGCTCCCTGACCAACAGTCGTACCCGCATTGGGAACTGGGAGTTCACCACGCTGTCGCCCAACATCGGCACGGTGGTCATTGACAATCACAAGGGTCGCCCGCTGGTGGAGACCGCCGACAAGAACCCGCGCACCCACTTCACCATCGCCGACATCCCCGGTTTGATCCAGGGGGCGCACCTCGACCGGGGGCTGGGCCTCGGGTTCCTGCGACATGTCGAGCGCGCGGGCATCCTGGCCTTTGTGGTGGATCTCAGCGCCGAGGACCCCGTGCAGGGGCTAAAGAACCTCTGGCACGAAGTGGGCGAATACGGCAAGATGCGCGAGGAAGAGTCCGCCCTGGAGTGGATGTCCGACAAATCGGACTTGCCGTCGTCATGGTCGTCACCGCAGGACGACCAGGAAGCCGCGCCGAAAGAGCTTCCGTCCCTCAGCCTGCCACCTATGCACACCAAACCCTGGTTCGTAGTGGCCACCAAGGCCGATCTGCCCGAGACGCAGGAACGCTTCCGCGCTCTGCGGGACTTCCTGGCGGCGGTCGAACGGGGCGAGGCAGAGCATCCGGGCGGCCACGTGAACGGGTGGAGGAAGAAGCTGCACGCCGTTCCGGTGTGCGCCATGAAAGGCCAGGGTGTTGAGCGAATCCCCAAGCTGGTGATGGAATATCTGGACTAAAGGAGTGTCTCCTGGCTGGATGAATGGCATATGTGGCGTTTGCTCTTGTACTATCTTTTTTATCTTATTTATGTATAATATCGACATGGGTTTTGCACAGCAAGGATCATCCAATCCGTTTTACTGGCCATGGGTAGAGACATTCATTTTTTCTTCGGCGCTGAAACCGAGGATGATAATTGGAACAGACTATGAATTTACATATGCATCGGGGTATATAGAGAAAATATCAACATGAAACCACATCCTGCTCAACTCACACAGATGAAGATGGACCAGGAGCCAAGGCAGCCGATTTCCTGGCCGATTTGGCGCCTGGTTTGGCACCTCGTTTCGTGCCAGATTTCGTGCCAGATTTCGTGCCAGATTTCGTGCCTCGTCTCGTGCCCTGTTTCGTGCTCTGCTTCATGCCGTGTTTCATGCCTTGTTTCGTGCCTTGTTTTGTGCCTCGTTTTGCGCCTCGTTTCGCGGCCGATTTCGCGGCCGATTTGGTACCTGATTTTGCGGCGGACTTCGCACCTGGTTTGGTATCTGATTTCGCGGCTGGTTTCGCGGCTGGTTTGATACTTGAATTCGCGGCCATTTCCAACGCCGGTTTCGAGGCCAATTTCGCGTTCGTCACCTCGATGCTTCCCCCGTACCCCGTCGCCGCGAGGATCGCCCAGCGCAGCTCGCTGATCCCCAGGATCGGGTGTTTGT